TTACCCTTGTGAATGTAATCTCAGCCTTGAGAAGCTAAGCTTTCCACTCAATGGCTGTAATCTTCTTTGGGACTGTAGACTATTACTGTGAGCTTCTTTTAACAACACTGGAAGTGCAGCTTACTGACTCAATAGAAAGTCATGGTTGACACCCATTTACAAACTCCCTGTTTATAATCTTACATACATTATCCATAGTATTGGGCAATATGATCATGTACAACGAGAGCTGATAGAGATTTGTCCGCCAGTAGAGATTTTACTAAACCATTTTTACTATGTCTTTAATATCTCTGCTTGCACTGGGCTATTGTGGCCAGCGTTGTGAATAAAAGACAAGGACTGATTTATGGCAATTCTGGATTTAAAGGATTTCACTATTATTATGGTGCAGTACATTGAATTTTCGGTATTCATTTCAAAGAATTAGCCAAACACAGATGCGGTTAATTTATCTATGAAAGGTTTCTCAACTGAATTTCTGGTTCAGTTTAGTTTAGTTTAGTCTAGTTAGAATTTGCCTCTTTCATGATATATCCCTAGTGTGATGTAAAATTATATACACTATAATGGAGAATTTAAGCCATTTTGCATCAACTTTCAGGATTTCCTGCAGCGGTTTAAAGTGGAGGCACTCTGCACCTTCACTAACATCAGAGGAAATTATTCCTCTCATTTTTACAAATGTAATAAGCTTACTGAGCTTCAGGGGAAACTTTCAGTGGCATTATATTACACAGCACATATTTAATAAAGGAGGCAAATGTTTAAATCATCATGTACTAACTACAGAGCCTGACAGATCACAGACCAAGGATGTGTCTGTGTTATGGCCTTTGCCTTAGCACTTCTAGATACACCATCTGTCCCTGTTTCTATTGGCCATGCTGTGACGATCCGACTGGACATTTTTGAATTGGCCGGCCTGACTGGTCGGGGTGTGAGAGTGCAGTTCATATGGACGTAAGGTCATGACATGGAAAAACCATAGACTGTAATTAAAGATGGCCGTAGCCTCCGTGACGTCACCCACAGGTTTCTGAATAGAGGTTTTGGAGCTCAGAGTGGGCCGTTCCACTGTCGCCATCTTGCCAGTAGCTGACTCCGCCGAATGGGCAAAGAGGTGGGGTGTGTGTAGAGCTGAGACTTTGGTGCATTATGCCCTCAATTTACAGAACTTTAAGCCTTGATAAAATTTAAATTAGTGAGTTATATAGAAATTCACCCCTTTTACAGTTGTCATGAAGGATGATATTAGCTCTAGAGACCAAAACGGTTTTTATATCAGGCTGTAAACGTGTTTATTTCTGCCATAAAGTTGGACATTTTAACATGGGAGTCCGTGGGAATTGATTCACTTTTGGAGCCAGCCTCGAGCGGCTATTCGAAGAAGTACAGTTTTTGGTACTTCCGTGTCGGCTTCATTTGGATGGTGCCTGGGAAAAAAACATGTTCACATTTAGCTGACTTAGTACTGACGCAGGCTAAAGGCGGGACAAGCAACTAAATACCCCTTCTCGTTCAAAGTTTCAAGTCTGCTGCACCTTTAACTACACCCAACAGTGATTTACCGACACGCCCCGTGCAGTACATTACAACATGACAGACCGCCGGCTGGTCAGCAAACATCAGAGATTCAGCTGTTGTTAAGTTAAATGGAGATTAGTGACTTCTGCATTTGTACAATTCATTCAGACGACAAAGACCAGGAGAGAGTTCAGGGAAGAGGTGGGATGCAGCCAGAATGAGGCTCTGACGTTTTTAGGCTTTTTGAACGCGGCTGTTTTGAATGTGTATAAACACTTTTTTGCTGCATCTACCAACTGGAAAGATGATCATGGGGATGGAGGATTTATATTTCATTTCTGTGTATCTGACCTCAACTGTTTCATTTCATTCCCTTTAACCGTATGCCTTGGACAGTTCTGTGCATGCTCTGCACGCCAACAGGGCAGTCTTGACTTCAGGCTTTGAGCTGCTGCTGAGCCTGGGGTAATGCCCCAGGCTCATTTGAACTACGCGATCAGTCTGCTCTCTGCTAATTGAGCTGTTGAGATTGTACTTTGCGGCGCGCGTTACTCTGATAGACCCTTGGGCTAGAAAGCATGTACGAGGCATACAGAGACACACAGCACATGCGTAAAACACTTGCACATGCACACCGTGACACCTCAGCAGCTGTCAGGGAACAAACTGATTGTGCACCGTTGCGGATGCAGGAACCGGCAGCAGCACGTACAAGAATAAAGCAATAACACTGACAGATTTGCTGTGGGACAGTGAGGGGAAGGAGAAAATGAGTAGATTTATACGATCTTCTCAAGCTCCTCCGTGACTAACCTGCATAAGATCCCTGCACCCTGTATGGATGTATGCAGCCAGCCGGCCTCCAGTGCAGTCTAATCCATCTTAGTCCACTGCAGGTCCCCTACACTGAGCAGAAAGCAACGCTTAGCAAAGAGGCTGATAACTGAATGTCATTTATATGAATACTAATGAGTACCAGCCATTTTAAAGAAAAGATGTGAGCCTTTGGGTTTTAAGGTAATGAATTAAAAATAAAACAGAATTCATTTATAGTGGTTGTAAGTACAATTCACACATTGTGGGTCAGGCAACTTTCAATACATAAATGAATGGTAAATCAAAAACTATGCATGAAAGACCTCTTTATTATATATAGCTACTTCACTGTCTGGGGATATAAGAGGTCTGAGGGAACGAGGGCACTGACGAGTGAAACAAGACAAGAGAAAAAGAAAATATTTTCAGGGGCATGATCACGGACAGTCAGAGGCACAAAGTCAGTGGATTTAGCCGTGACGTCTGAAATCGTAAGATGCTCATACATCACAAGACCGCTGAACTTCTCTCAAGGACAACGAGGAGACCGGCTGAAATAAGATAACAGGCCTGTTTGCACTCTCAGGATGCCTGACCCCTCTGGTGTGCAAAATGGAGTGATTTTTTTTCCCCCAGAGTGGGAGAGGGTCAGGAAGGGGGGTGGTGGGGGGTGGGTCACCTACCTATCAGCCTGAGCGAGGCAAAGACTTTTTATAACGCGAGTCAAAACGTACATTTCTGCTTTTGAAGTTTGAGGTGACGTCTCATCATTAAACCTCTAAAAGAGAAATTAACTCTGTTTACAAAAAAAAAAGTAATAACTTTATACTCAATCATAGAAATGTCACATATTTACAAATGATCCATGATGCAATGATGATGTTTGTTTTGCAGTGCAATGTGGCACAGTACAGAGGAGGTGGAGTAATTGGAATCTGCTGAAGAATCAATAACCCCTGTTGAATCTCATGGCACTACATGCAGAGCAGCATCAATCCATCACCGTCTCATTAATTATGATACCTTGGCATAATTACTGTGAAAAGATGAGCTCATGGTTGAGACGCTGGCCTCCATCTGACGCCAGTGGGATCGTTACTAGTTGCCTGTATTTTAGCACCTACTTCTAATAAAACACCCTTTATAAAAGGATTTTAACTTGTGACTAATGGGTTTATTAAAGATGATTGAACTGTTTATTAATGCTTTTTGAGAGAGTCACGGGCAGCTTATACATCAGCGAGAGTTATTAAGCCTTCTGCAATTTTCAATCACAAAAAATCAATGATGGGTTTGTAGGACAATTAAGCAAGTCTAAATGTTAATTAGTTGTCATTTTTTATTCATAGCTTACAATTGATCAATAAAGAATCAATATGGTAGTCTTTATTAATGGTTCAAAACCAGTAATGAATGGTTTACAGATCAGTTGTGAAATATCCATCTGATGTTATCGTTTCCTGGATCAGGGCTGCAGAACATCTGGACCTGAATCAGTTCATTACTAACTCATTAACATTTACAATCGCACATCCAGTGGTTTCATTTGATTTTCAAAAAGACAAATCATTACTGACCTATGACAAACAGTTGCTAATGGGTTATTAAAAAGCGAGAAACTGATGACCCTTTATCAATATGAAGCAACAATAAATGACTTAATGAATTTATTCCACATTTCCCATAAGGTCCTTTACCTTTTGCGAACTTGACATTAGAGAGAGTGCCTTGGAATAAATCGGCATACTCCTTGTTGAAGAAGGCAGTGTTGTTCATTAGAAAAATATTTAAAATAAATTTTCTGCCACTCATTCCAGCAGAAACTCTCAAAGCTTTAGCTTTATTCCAGCTGGAGGAACAACTGTTTTGTTTTGTGGGTTCCTGGAGAGACTTCAGCACATTTTCCATCAAATGACAAGGGAAAGGCACAGTAAAGGGCAGGGGCCAGGTTTTCTTGTCTTTCTGTTTCAGTGGGGATTCATTTAAGCGGCAGCTCCACACTAAATCACAGGGAAGAAAACTGTTGCTGCGCTGCTTCCTTCTTGAATCTTTAAGGCACCTTCAGCCACACACACATCAGTGATGTCACAGACAAAACACCTGCTGTCTTGACTGATTGGGGGGAAAAAAAAGTTGTTTTTAAAGACTGGACTGTATCACACTGCAAGTTATGAAAGTATGTTTCCCGCTTCTTCCTATCTCAAGGTTGCTGCATTCATAGAAAAGACAGATGAAACATAGAGCAGGTGCTTGCCACAGTGATAGTGCCATTCCTTTTAAATTTGCAAGTATGGATGATGGCCAGTGTTTGAGCGGCAAAAGTAAGACATTTGCATTTAAGTGATGAATGGGTCTGCGGCTCCTGGAAGAGCAAAATAAAGCAGAGCCACTTAGCTCCTGCCAAAGCTGTACTACAGACCCTAGTGGTTGGACAAGTCACTACTTTGTGTATAATTCGTTTGAGTATAAATTATGTGTGTGTACTCTCGTAGGTGTAAAGAGGGGCCTCCAGAGATCTCTCTGCACATTATACAAATTGAATTAAGATGTGTTAATTTTGCTGGTTAGTCAGAAGCAAACCGCATGAAGTGGGTTAACGAACCGTAAAGGTCTTCAAACCGTCCTCCTCCTGATGCCATGCTCTCCTCTTCCTCCAGGGCGAAGGCTCCAACTTCCTGCAGCTGGGCTCCTCCATCGAGCAGCAGATCAACGGCATGTTCAAGGTGATGGAGGAGTACAACTGGGACAGCTTTGTAGTCATAACCAGCCTCTACCCGGGCTATGAAACCTACGTGGATTACATTAAGTCTTTCACTGACACCAGCTACTTCATGTGGGACCTGCAGGACGTGCTGACCTTCGACATGTCTGCCGACGGCATGAACGACATCCGAGCACGTAGGCTGCTGCAGCAGATCGACGCCCAGGTGTTGTTGGTCTACTGCTCACACGAAGAGGCCCAGTATCTGTTTTCCATGGCGACAGAGGCCGGACTAGTGGGGCCGGGCTACATCTGGATTATTCCCAGCTTGGCTGTGGGAAACCCGGACAACCCCCCACCTGACAGCTTCCCTGTGGGGCTCATTAGCATCATCACAGACCGGTGGAGGATGAGCCTGAGGAAGAGGGTGCGGGACGGGGTGGCCATCGTGGTGAAAGGCGTGCAGAGCTTCCGGAAACAGAGGGGCTTCATTCCTGAGGGCCACAGTGATTGTCACAATCCCATCAAGCCATCAGCTGCTAATGACACTCTGTTCAGGTGAGCTAAAATGTTGGGGGCCAGAGGGGAACTTAGTACAAATATGAGAAAACAAGTTGGTATATTAGGCTTCGTTTTCAATATCCCTAATTTTAAAACTATATTTTATCTTATTTTATTAATAAAAGTCTCTATTTCTTGTTATTAATATTTTTATTACTACTTTTTTATTTTCTCTTGACAGTGTTTGCTTGTTCAAAATTTCTAAATGTTTTTGTGTTGTCTTGATAAATTGAGGATCATGTACATTTTACACAAAACTAATTCCACCACAGCTGTTTAATCAATCGTTGTTTAGCTACTGTAAATTAAACTTGAGCCTTCAGGCTCAAAGAGCAGCATCACTCCCTTTTCTAGTAAGCTTCAAATATGAAAGACAACACACATATCCAATCTATATTAATAATACTATATAATATAATATATAATATAAAGCGAACATTTTTTATGCATTAAAATGATAAAAACTTGCAGCGACAGACTGGCATGTATGAGGTAGTACTATGTTAATTTAGCCTACATTATACTGAATTTGCACTGTCAGCTTTTAGTGTAAAATTAATTAAACCCACTTCAACATTTCCCCCCAGCCTAGTTCATGACTGGTCTTTACTTATGTGTCCCTGTGACACTCCTAGTACTTGATACTTGGTCATTATTTGAATACTGGTATTTATTTAAGGTTTTACAGAACATTGTTTCTGAGGAAGTTTTTACATTTTGTCAATGTTTAATAAATGATTTTCCACGTTTGGCGGACGGGGCAGTCATTGCATGTATTTATACCTACATAAGCTCAAAGAGGAGCACAAAGCACAAAGCATTCCGTAAATGTTAAAATAATAAAACAAAGGAGCTGGAGGCTAGTGATTGTTCTCTTGACAAACACTGCACTCACATTTAGTAAAATGGTCACCAGGGCCACTTGAAGACAGCGCTCATAAATTGCAAGAGTGAGTTACAGAGTGGAAGCTTCTTCCCAGGGAAACAACTTTGCAGTGGTTCGCTGTTAATGTTGCTAATGGTTAACATGAGATGTGAACCCTCGTCGCTTTAGACCGTCTCATGTGGACGTTGTGGTGACTTGTTTGCTGTGTATAATCACAAATTAGACACTAAGGATGATACTGTAATTTTAAATCGAACCCCTGAGTATTATAAAAATCCGTTTAACGCGACTAACTTTTCCTGCAACTGCATAAAATGAGCCAAACCCAACAAAAGAACAACCCCAAGACTAACACTTAGTTCATTTTTTTTCCCCCATGTGAATAGCTAGGTCCTTGTACCTAAACAAGAAAATAAGCTTTAGCTCACTGCCCTCCTGAAACAATGACTTGTACAAAGTATTCATGCAAGTGTTTTCTGATCTGTCACTTCACTGGTTAGGTTTAGGTAACCAAATCCACTTGCTTAAGGAAAGTTCATGGTCACAGCCTTTGCTAGGACGATCATTGTTTGTCATTATTTGTCATTATTTGTCATTATTTGTATTTGTTTGTTACCAGATAAAAAATAATAATAAATTGTTTTAAGTGTCTGGACAAACAGCCATTTCTATTGCTTTTTCTGCAGAAGTAATTCTCTTTTATTCTGTCAGTTTAGATTTCGATCTTATTACGGATTACATATTTTTGTAGGCCAGCCCGGATGTTAGCATCACACTGGTTTCCCTCAACAAAAAGCCAGTGGGATTTTTACATTGTCTTTTGGAATAATGCAGAAAATAAACTGTGACAAACAAATTACGGGGAGTAGTGGTGATGGAAAGTGGAGGCATTACACTCAGTTACAGTAGACCGAGTTAAGCTTGTTAAAGTTAGCTAGCTAGCTAACAGTAGTATTAACAGACATTAATGTCCGGTTACTTACCCCTGAATTTCCTTGCCTCTTCTTCGTTAATTCTTATTCCTGCTCTAATTATTTTTTTTAAATTAGTTAATCCATGGACAAGCTCAAAAAAGTAGGAAAACTAACCAACATTTTCATTGACATCATGTCAGGAAAAGATTTTGTGATCACTGATTTGCTGCATCATTTGCCCGTGCCTTAAGCCTGTAAAAATAACAATTATATACCCTTTGCTGTCAGCAATGATTTTGTACCTTTAATTTTAAACAAAGTTTTAAACCCTAACCCTAACCCACAGTTATCACCTTTAGGAACATTTCTGTACCTTACAGGATACTTTTCTGATAAATGCACCTTTGGGTACAGCAATGATACCCATATTTCTGTGTGTGCACTGTCACGTTTTGTTCAGCAGGACATTCTTCACTAATGAACACCAGTTTGTGATGTTTGAAGCCTAAATGCAATCGCCAGAGGTAAAAAGCTAATGTTAGGCTAAAAACAAACTACACCACGGTCACATGACTTCAACGTCACCACCACTAAACTTCAAGTTAGTGTTAGTTTGATTTAGCTCCGACCTCTTCTACAAAAGCCTTGTTAGCAACCCGGCTGAAATCATGACTGGAGTATTTACTGTTCTATTTATTATGTCATAGAATAAAACTTGAAAATATCTGGAGCTTGTGTTGACCACAGACTTTATTTCAACTATTTCATCTAACTAAAAACCCAGTCAAGTAACCCATAGACTTCAGGGCGAGTGAACCGGAAGTGTTAAAATGCTAACTAACTTCCGGGTCTTAGGACTCATTCCTGCAGCGCTCTATAACTATTCCCTTTAATCTCCGATACAACATGAGAATACAACAGTAACGGCTCAGACTTACATCTGTGGGACTTGGCAAAAAGAGGTCAACAGTTGTTCATTTATTCATGACCAATCTGTGTGGTGTGGAGCACATTTCATAGCAACTGTCACTCTCCCAAACTGTATCCTCTGCCCCGCTGCCATCCATCTCCTGCAATCCATCTCACACCGAGCGCTCCCCACTATACTTCGTGGAGACTGACGGACGAGGGCGTGGCTTCTTTTCATTTAAACCATGCCCAAAGGAGCAGCCTGGCGCCATCTGTGCCACAGGACACGGAGCAAATCCTATTTTAAATTTTCAAAAAATGTTTTAATCAGCAAAGGGAAGAGCCAAAAAAAATAAATAAATAAAAAAAAACTATTCCAGCATCAGCTTTTGGCTCATATAAACCAAGGTCATTCAAGGAGACTGTGAGTGCGTTGTGTGTAAAATGTGTGCATGTGCTGTTATAGATGATCACCAATAGGCTGCTAACGGGACGCAATCATCATCAGACACTGCTCTCGCGTTATGAAACATCACTCTCTCCCTCTGATGTCAGAAGTAATTTTTCTTCAGAGCCTCTGGAGCCATGGGCGACACAACTTTTCCTTTTGTAAACCCAAACTGCCCATGAAAACGTGGAGATGGTGAACATTATCTCACGCTTTGATACTGTACGAACCGCGCCTTTTTTTTAGACTTTCTGAACCCAGCAGGCACTATTTGAGCAGCAGCAGCAGCTCTCGTCAGGTAAAGTGAAGGTCGGCAAGACAGAACAAAGCACTTTCTATTAGCTTTATAGTCAGTCGTCTCTTCTCTCTCCAGCCAGATCAAACATTATCATCCCCCTTCGGTTCTCACATTTGTCCTCACTTGATTGGAGATTTTTTTTTTTTCAAGTAAGCTTTTGATAATGAGTCAGCGCACCTGTTAATGGGATTATCGCAGATTACCAGATTAAATAGGCTTTTCACACAGACCAGGATGAAGGCTATTCTCCTCCCAGCAGGCTTTACAACACCTCAGCTGGAGTGACGGGCGAGGTGAGAGAGCGGCGCCACAGGTCTAATATAACAGGAATTAGAGTGATGAAACAATGGAGTCAAAGGAGGCAGGTGACAGTTTCCCACGTAGTGCAACGGCTACCGGGACACTTTGTCTCTATGGTGTCAAGTTTTTTTACAAAGCAGCTGTGCTTTTTCATTTGTGACAATGTCCGACCAATTTGGGCTGTTTTAATGAACGAAGGAGCAACATGTGTGTGTGTGTAATCGATTAGAGAAATAATCTGTAACTGTTTTGATAATCGATTAATTGTCTCTTCGGGTTTCGGACTGTTTAATTGGGGTTTGATTACAGGAAAGAGCCTTTTTTTTTTTCTTTTTTCTAAAGTCACGGATCATCTCTCCCTTTGTTTTCTCTGCAGGCACATGTTGAATGTAACCTGGGAACACAACGACTTCTCCTTCAACAGTAACGGTTACCTGGTGAATCCAGCCATGATAATTATCACTCTGGACAGAGAGAGACAGTGGGACAAGGTAAGATTTTCAATAGAAAGGGCCGATATTTCACACAGTGTGGGACTTTCTTTCATTTCTGTGTTATTACTGAATGTGTAACAAATGGTGAGAAAAACAGAAGAGCTGTTCTGCCGACACGACGTCTCTTCCAGTGACGTCTTCCTCCGCATGCTAAAAGCAGAGCGATTTCACACATCGCTGGTCTCTTTGTAAAGACTAGTCAGGAGAGTCAGAACTCCACTGACACAACAATGAACCACTTAATGAAGGATCATCTCATAATCACACACACCAACAGTGCTGCTTTTTACTCACGCCTCTCTCTCACTTACTCCTACTCTCCATCCCTTCAAAAGATATTAAAAGAACCCCCCCCATCCCCACCCCACCCCCTACACACACACACACACACACAAACACACTTTTGTCAGGGTACTTTGCTGCAGCGTGCTGCCTCATTGACTTGTTTGGAGATTGAAACATTCATTTAACCGCAGAGGGGGTGTGGGGGGGTGGATGTGATGTGGACACCAGACTGGTGGGAGTTCACTTCCTCCACTGGTTGAATAGAAGGTGTTTAGTTAAACATCACGCTCAGAGTAAACAGCTGCAGGCATTTCAGACCTAATTATGTCATATTGATGTTTCCGAGTGCTACGTCCTATTAATTTCCAATGTGTTGTAAAGGCTCTGAGCTAATGGGAAGCCGTGATGGTAAAAGAACCAAACAAACTATTTGAGTTGGAAAGCAGACGGAAGCCATTTTGTGTATGAACCAATACCACAGCCTGGTCCAGTGGTGTAGATATTTGTTAGAACAGAAATTACGTCGCAGTTTTGCGTATTTATATGCCGTCAATGTTGTGTTACTATAATTAGTAATATGTCAGCCCGATTGCTTAACACACTAGTGCCACTGCAGCTGCAATTTACATTAAAATGTAGTTTCAAATGTATTTAAGTGTGGATGAGATGGTATTGGTGTGGCTCACGTAATGCAGCATTCACTGTCACTGAATCCAGTCATCATTCCCCCAACTAAAACTAACACACCTGGAGGAAGATTTAGTCTATACCGGCTAACATTACACACAAAGACATAATGCAACTGAATGCAAGATGCAGTTTATTTCCACATCAGGAAAAGAAGCAAAATTAACTTCTGAACAAAGACATATTTTTTAGAGGCAGTGGATACTGTTATGAATTAGGAGCTACAATGTGAGATTCTACAGATGAATATAGGTCACTGAAAAACACTTTGGATTAAAACAGCAATTACGTTGTCCATTCATCCTTCTTTTACACTAAAAGGTCTACATTTTACTTTTCCTTAGTTTTATTTGAAGTGTTAAGAAGATGTTCATAAGAAGATGCATTTGTGGTTTTAAGAACCAAAAACCATCTCAGTGTAGTTTTACATCTCCTCTCTCAGGCTTCTCTGTGGAGCTCTAGTAACAACAAGTCGGTGAGCCAATCAGAAGAAAGGAGGCTCTGAAATCGTAATCCTGCAAGGTTGGATGGTGGGTCTAGGTGTGTCAGGCTTGGGGCATGGCTGAGGGCGGTGACTGTTTTGTTGTGACATCACAAAGTTACAGAAGTCCAGATGGCTGGTTTTAAGTCTCAGTGTCTGAATACAGGCTGTGTGCATTTCTCTGTGGACTGAGGCTTTGATACTTTCACAGTATTAATATAGAACCTAGACCTGACTTATAATCAAAGAAGACATAGAAATCTCACTTTATAGCCTATAATACGGGACCTTTAATTATAAATGGATCAAATGATGTTGTTCACAATTTCACTGTATCAGAAAACACCTGATTTTGTTCAGTCTTTACGTTAAATTATGTGAGATAAACTTGTAATTTTAGTTTTTTTTTACAGCGTCTAATAGCTCCTGTCATCTGAAAATGTTGAAATTCAACTGTGCGCTGTGTTTAGAGCTGCCGCTAAAGGTTCTTTTAATTATTGATTAATCAATCCATTGGAAAAGCAACTGTCAATCAAAATTTCATAAGAACAGTATCACTAGTTCCCAGAGCCGTAAGACTAACCTTCAAATTGCTTGTTTTGTGCAACAAAGAGTCAAAAAACAAATATTCAATTTGCAATCATACACATGAAAAATCCCACATTTAAAGCTCAAACTAGACAGTTTGGCTCATCTAAAAACAAATCATATCAGCTCTAACTATGCCTCATATACCTAGGATATCTTTAAAGGCAGACAAATAAATACTGCTGAAATGGTGTATCTCTTTCTTGACTGTAGAAAAAGTCATATCATCTGTATCAAACAAAAAAAAAAAGGGAATATTTCTTCAGGGAGCTGCAGTGAAAAAAAAATAAAAAAAACATGACAATAAAAATGTTAAAGCAATCTGTCAACACATATCTGAATGCAGGAAAGAGGCTGCAGAGCGGAGGTAACACGGATTAAGAGTCTGAACTAAAGCTTTTCTTTCTCCTTTCTTTTTTTTACTTTTCTCGCCTTTTGTATTCCTGATGAGCTGCTTCTTATCTGAGCAAAGACAAAGGCGGCTTTGTCTTTCACTTTCTGCCCGACTATTGGACGTTCATGTTGAAGGGCGTTGTTCTCTACTGCAACACTCCCAGTAGATTCAGGAAGTTTTTAACCATCTCACTATCCTTGTCCTCTGTGCTGTCAAAGACAAACGGGAAAGTTGGCTGCGGAAACATCCTAGAAGCGCAACGTGGTCCCCTCTGATTTTATAAAATGAGCACAGACTTTAAAATGACTGAAATTAAATTGAATTCAGTGACAGTAACGTGGCTTGGATGCCTCACCGTCCTATGACAAGATTTACTTATATAGAGAAAGCAGTTCAGCTGTGATTAGCATAATGTTTTGCCTACGTTCAATCAGAGACACTTTCACATAAAACAGAGGCGACTTCTTGACTTAATTCGAGACTTCAATCCAGAGGTGAAGGTAAATGCGACCTCTCATTCACACTGACTCCTGCGCTCCTCATTTCCACCATGCTGACCTTTACATAAACCTTTTGTGGGAGGAGAAAATATTTGTCTCGCCCCTTCAGAGCACGACACTGCGCTCAGTTCACAGAATTTCGGTTCACTTGTGAGGCAGTACCCTTTGTGTGTTTAACTTTCTGTTGCCTCTGGCATCTTCTCTCTGAGAGCTGAAAATCAATTCCACTTTTTGATTGCCTTTTTTTTTCCTCCTGCCTTCTTACTGCACACGTTGCAGGGCAGCCGGTCAGTTACGTTCATACATCACCTACATATCACCAGCCTCAGTCTGACACTGTATAGACGCGTACCTCGCATTACACTCCATTTTTATTTATTAACCTTAAATCATACAATCGTCTTATCACATACAGCTGCTGTAATTTGCTTCTTCCCATGAGTCATTGTTCGGCTGCTTCTCCGACTTCCTCCCCGGATCTAAAAGTCAAGGTAACTTGGGAAGATGGAGGGAGAGCATGACAAAAGAGAGTGGCGACAGAGAGAGAGAGAGAGAGGAAGCCCCGGAGGAGGAGGGGAAGTGTTCCTGTCATTGCTGTTATCTGGCAGGGTGATACATGGGACTGAAAAGCTTCCGTTCTCTGGCTGTATATCTGTGATGCGCACAAACCCTGAAATTACAGTCTCGTCGACTGAAAAAGGCTTTGGGAACTGGGAGAAAAATAACCTAATTGAAGTATTTTCCCAATGGATTTCTTGTTGCTAATGCTACTAAAGTGACAATTACTGTTTATTTTACTTTTCCACACAGGTAACGGTAGTATTCCGGCAGTATTTGAGTTAGCTGTATAGTTCTTGTTGTCAATCAGAAATCATTGACTCCGCTTCTGCAAAGCAAAACCGGAGGGTTTGCAGTGCTTTTCCGAGATGAATGAACAATGAAGATCTTCACAGTCTGAGCAGCCACAGGGACATGTTGTTTTTTCATCTCAGTGTACTTGCCTGATATTTGCAATTCTGATTGACTTGACTAAATGCCCATGAGTGGAGCGAAAGGTAAACAGCAGAGCTGATCAATATGACTGACAGGAGAGAGGAATAACTGAAACGTCCAGAGAGAGTTAGGATATTTGCACCACCACTACAACCCCCACTTTCAGTTGTTTCATTTCATTGTGACAAGCTGTACTAACTGGTGTGATCAGACAGGATTGTCCCCCTTCCTGCATAAACACCAGAGATTATGTGGGAGGAAAAACATTTTGTCTAGACTGACACTTTTTTTTTTTTTTAAAGCTCTGCAGGAAGTTAATGACATTTACAGCAGCACAGGCGAGTGCGTGTAAAATAAACAGACTATCATTTAAATGTGAGTCAGCATTTAAATGTTGCCCCAGATACCTCATTATCAGAAGTGAACTGCAAGCGTAATCGATCCATCGACAGAAAATATGATCAAGAGGGAACGGCTCTTGGCTCTTCTCGTCTCTTTTTCTGCCAATGCAACACAAACAATCCCGTGTGGTAAACAGTCGGATTAAAGCACCTGCTTCCTGTCAAACCTATAGATTGTTTTGTATCTTAACTGATACAGGGTTATTGGAATATGAAAAAGAAATATTCTACCAATTATAATTAGACACAGAAGACCCTAAAGAAGGACTACATTTTTAGAGTTTATAGATTAACAGATCACATTTTTAAACAGTACAGTTTTCTGACCTATTTGGTTTCAGGTTTTTATATTAAAGGTCCCATATCAGAAGTCAGTCAGTCAATCAGAGGAGAGCAGGCTCTGAGCCTCTCTTCTGATTGGCTGACTGTTTTCTGAGTGATCCAATAAAAATATAGCAGATTTCAGGTAACGGGGCTTGGAGCATGGCTGAGAGCGGTGACTGCTTTGTTGTGACATCATAAAGTTACAGAAGTCCTGACGGCTGGTTATAAGGCTGAGTTTCTGAATATAGGCTGTGTGCATTTCTCTGCAGACTGAGCGCTTTGATACTTTCACAGTATTAATATAGAACCTAGACCTGACTTATAATCAAAGAAGACATAGAAATCTCACTTTATAGCCTATAATACGGGACCTTTAATTATAAATGGATCAAATGAGCAGACAGACAGAATAAGTATAAGCAGCAAGTGGACTTTCCTGTCCACTTGTTTGTGTACTTCAGGTCTGGAGCTGTTTTCATGGTTTGCTCCAGACCTCTTCTTCCCAATTTAGAGAAATCTGAAGGTATACAATATTATATAAAAATATATATACTCAAAACATGACTTCTATTAGTCTATGTGGTCTTTGGTTATGTGAATTAAAGCTGTAATGCTGCTTTTACCTCTGAATGTGATGTTTCAGGAACCGGTAAGATGATGACAAAGGGTACAGTAGTCCAGTTTCAGTAATAGATCCATGACTTTGAGGCTTTATCACACACTAAAACACTGCACAGCTGCTCATGATATGAGCAGAGAGGATTACATACCTTTGGAAAGTCGTTTTCGTCATGATATTGGCCAAGTTAACATTATATTGGTCATGTTACAAATCTACCATCAATATGCAATTGTATGTATTTGACTGGCCATCGATGCACTTTGCCAGATGTTGTGCTGGTACCTCCACTGTGCTCACGCTGTGACGTTGTCTGTCTGAACTCAGGCGGAATATTGCCACGGCAAAAATGAATAATTAATACATTTAAATATTGCAGAGATGATGATATAAAGATTTTTGTTAATTACTGCCCTGCAAACAGGAATCCTTAAATACCTTTTTTTTTTGTGAATAATTCATCTCAGTAATAGCATTTCAGAGCATCTGTCATCTATGTGTACATGAAAACAGTGACTGTGTTGTAACATAAAGGGTGCAGGTTCAACCCGGAAAAATACCAAAACAACCGTAGCTGCTTCTCATTACTGTCTGCTGAATGCTTACATATGTAAAAACCTGTTATTCATTTGCTGAATTAGTGGCAGCCAAAGCGACGTTTAATAGCCCCATCTGATTCAGCAAAAAGGTAACAATCTGTGGAGTGTGTCATTGTTTTGTTTAATTGGGGTCCAACTGGTCCTCCACGACCTTCGTCCCTTCATTTCACAGCCCAATTTAAACAGTTAAGAGTCGGATTGGCAAATTTGCGGATCGTGGTACTAAACAGGTCACGGCTTCTTCAAATAAGCGAGCTTGAAATGTTTAATTCGAGATCTTGATTATGTATTCAGCTTGCTTGAACGCTCATTTCCCCACAACATTCAATTAAAATTAGCTAACTGGCTATATAGCAGGGGGTGGAATTGCTTTCATTGCGTTCGATGTATAATTACACTCTCTACTTCCCCAGTGACCCAAAAATCAATTTCCACTAAACTGTCTACAAACGAAAACTCTCCTCACTCTCCTCACTACACCAGCTGCAGATGCACAAATCAATATATCAATAATAATGTATACAGTTAGAGAATTGGGGATAATTATATTAAAATTGGAGGTTGTGATAGACAGAGACAAAGGCTTACTTTTCCAGTATTTCCCACCTATATTTATTTAAATCTTGTGGTTGTTCCTTGTTGTAGTCCTTTCAAATATTTTCCTCTGTGCTATTTCTGTACCAGAGATTTTATTCACTGGCTCTTGTTGATTCACCCCTCCTCTCTGGACTCCCTTCAGGTGGGGAACTATGAGATGGGGATCCTCCAGATGAGATACCCCGTGTGGCCGCGGTACGGCTCCTACCTGGAACCAGTGTCGGATTACAGGCATCTGACGGTGGCCACGCTGGAGGAGCGGCCCTTCGTCATCGTGGAGGCAGTGGACCCTATAACTGGTACATGTGTCAGCAACACCGTACCCTGCCGACGACAATCCAACAAAACTGAGGCGTAAGTGATGAAGTGAGCTCAAATGTCACATTGCAAAGATGAAAATGTTGTGATATTGTCACAAGAGGTTAAAGGATATAGAGCGTTTGGAGATTCTCTGCAGTCTGTCCGTCAGTATTATCAAATCATCTGCTGTGTCTTTAGTCAAGTTAACCATTGTATGCAAACCCACTTTATATCACTGTACAGTCCCACTGGCACTCTCACATGTGAACATGCTCAGCTTAATTGATTTTGTATCTAACTTGAGAGTTCCATTAGGTATGCGATTAAGAGGCTCTTCCCCTGCCATTAGCCCAGGCATGGCTTCTTATCACTCAATGAGGTGAGATACTCATTAGGCTGCTTGGCCAGAGTGCAATATCCCAGGGATCACCCTGTGACCCAATCAAGAAAATATATGTGCTGCACGGTAGGGTATCAATTAGACGGGACGATTAGGCCATGTCATCAATCGTGAACACGTACAGACTGATATTGGTGTTCATTAGTGGAGGAGAGAGGCTCTGACCATTATCCATTACTGACAATGGTGTTAACGAGATGAGGGGAACAGAAGATGAAGCTCACGTCCCCTCAGTGTCATGGAGCACTGTAATGCTCTATTGCTCATGCTGACCAAATTGTCCTGCCGGTACAAAAAGTCTATAATTCCCCTTGTTGGACAATGGAGCATTTTCACGGAGCTGCACAAAAATTCAAGGCAAGAAGTAGATGAAGTCGATGAGAGGTTCAATGAAGCAATCGGTACTTCGGTCAGATGATGGAGAAACATTGACCAGTGAAGGTTACAATGAAGGGTGAAGGACTAGATGTTTCTTTAAGATTCCAACAGTCGTTCTGTGGGTTGCACCAATACAATCTCCCAGAGCCTGAAGTGACGTCTCCAAATTGCTTGTCCACCCAACATCCTCATATTTGAGAAGTTGGAACCAGCGAACGTTTTTTTTTTTTTTTTTTTTTTTAATGTTTAATAGATCTTGTTGATTAATGTCAACCAGTGTTACTCATTTTAGCATTGACTGATACAGTTTTAAAATTAGCATATGAAAACCTATTCGGCTTATGTGATACTAATATATATATTTTTTAAATAACAAAGATTTTTGTTGACGACAAACACTGTTGAAATGACATCAAATGTATCTTTGGTATTTCTGAACTACAATGTGTTGGTGTTTACACCAGTACGTAATTATAGTCAAGCAAAGAATTGTGTTCCTTAGTTCTCCATGGTCACCCTTCCTTATCTGAATCTCCTCCAGACCCATAAGTTCCCCAACAGCCCTCAACATGCCCAAATCTCAGACTCACATCAGTGCTTCCTAAATGGGGAGTCATCGGTCATGCAGGTTTTCCATTTCAATCCCTCAACAATTTAGCCATACGTTCAGCTTGCCTGGCACGCCATCTGTGTAGTTCCCTCATATGTCCGCAGAGAGACCTGACAAACAGCCACCAGTGCCTGGCTCAGACTTGACTAAAGTAGAACGAAGCTGTTACCACAAGCTTTTCCCTTTAAGTCAGACATGTTCTCCAGTGGGTTCAGAAAAATCTCAAGCTCACTTTCTCTCCGCCTTTGAACCGCAGGCAGCCTGTTTTTCCCTCAGAGCACACTGGCGGAGATTAATTCAGAGGTAATGCGCTGGTGAAGGGTGGTATTGACCTGGGAAGATAATGTCATCATATATTAGTTGCGTTCGATGGGAGTTAGATCATAAGTTAATTTAATTAAAGCTGAGACTGAATGCAGCGGTGGATGAGCTCCCAGGAGCCTCGGAGCAACAGAACCAGGAAGCTGCATGAAGCAATTTTTACTCATCGATGCATTCACAAGCCATTGTTAGAAAAGTATTTGAACATCAATACCTACAAACTGTGTCATGTGATTTCAGCATACTGGTTACGGAGGCCCTGTGGTACTCTCATGTTTACCAACCAACATTTTTAGACACATTTTAGATGGAAACCAACAAACCAAACAGACCAAGCCCGGCTAAACTCTCGCATGATCTGGCCTGTGGTCAGAGGGGGGAGCAGACTTGTACTAAACTTTTTAAGGTCAATGCAATAGTAGTTTGTATAGTCAGAATAAACAGACTATACAGCAATTTTGTGCAGCAGAAATGTTTTTTCTTCTCTTTAAATTATCTCGAGACCCACCAAATTTATTCTGTGACCTGTTCTGGTCCCTGCAGTTGGGGACTACCAGTTTGAGATCTCTTCAAATTTGGCCAATCCACCAGCATAACAGCTGGGGGAACAGAGTGAGACTATATTTTGCAGCCTCTAATTTGATTTAGACTAATAAGGCAGGTGTATTTTCACATGAAAAATCCCCTGGTGCAGCTTTACAACTTATTTAAGGGGTGACTATTATTTCGAGGGCTTCTCAGTGAGAGTGCTGTCTTTAATTTTCCTTTAGATGGGATATAGACATCTACAGCTACACAGAACACCACTGACAGTGTGGCACACACACACTGAAATAAATGTCTCATGCAAATTGGTGCCTGTCACCATCCATTAAGCAGCTTCAAAACATTATTCTAACAATGTCCACACTTTGAATAAATCACCTAACACACAAATTTGCAACAATTCCCAAACACCCATTTTAATGCAACTGGCAGCCGACTTAGAGCCCAGCCCTGAACCCTGGCAGCTGGTGAGACTGGGGATGTTGGGACCGCTGTGTTTACTCACGGTCTGCTCCGGCAGCCTCGATTTCCTCTAAAGTGTTCATTTGTTTCTGGTCGTAGTGGCTTGGATCTGCCTGTTCGACTCATTGCCTCCAGGTCCTGACGTGTGGGTGCAGAATCTATTAGACTAAAGGTGTGGAGGAGTTTAGGGGCAACATGTCATTAGTGGTCTCTGCATTGCATCCATGGCTCAATGGTTCGCTGCCACATCACCTCACACTCCCCATCATACGCACTACAGAGGTATGACCGTTTTGGTTTCTCTGAACGCAAATAAACATTCAAGGTGCGCCACCTCCTCTCTGTGGAGAAATAAAAACAAACAAATTAGACCATCACATTTGTCTAAAATGATCCTGCCAAGCTGACATGAAGCAACGATAGCCACTCTGACACATTTTAGAAATGGATCCTCCACACAAAATAATGCCTTAATTTATTGAAAAGCTCAGCCTCTCAACACAATGGGCTTTTCCAGGTGCAGTGCCTTGTATTAGTGCTGCAGCGATTCAATTTATTACTAACCCAGATTATTCTCATGTTTATGAATGACTAATTGTTCACAACATAACAAAAAATATGGACCATAACTCCCACTAGGGCTGGGATGATATGGTTACTTTCACAATAATTGCGTGCCGATTCGATATGTATTGCATTATTTTTTAAGCATTACCATCCTGCAAGTATTGCAACAATTGTGTTGAGATTTGAATGATACAGCACATTCAAATCAATACAATGCACATCACATGTCAGTCAGTCTTATTTCAGCAGCATCGTTGCTATAAACCCCTTGGCTCTGTCTTTAAGCCATGTTAACGAAAAATCTGTCATTTGGAATTCCAATACTGAAGAGGTCAGTAGGCCATAGGCCAATATATTAATATATTAGTCCTCTCCTTGTTAGCTAAATAAATAACTGTTGTGATTAAGTACAGTACTGTTACAATAAAGTTAAAAGAAGTATTGTTATAATAAAAGTTATATAAAGTCCTGTTATAATGAAATTAGTCAAAGCGGAACCACTGGTGCTTTTATTCTGTAGCATCAAGTCTGTCTCGGACCAGAAGTGTTTCTGTGATCTTGAAGCTTCCAGTCAACAGATGAGTGGACAACAACAGTTAGCAGTTAGTTGTTTGCAGTTAGCGGAAAGTTAAACAGTCACCAGTCAGCGCCTCCATTTGACATGATGATTTATTCACTGGGAGCAGCAAAGTGGCAGCCAGCTCCCAGGCTAACTGTTAGATACTAGATGTTATTACAGTAGCTCAGTGCAAATAATAAAATAAATATTGTTTCAGCAATCTGCAATCTTTCTACCCAATCATCACAAGCAGCCAAAAATTAATTAAATGAAATTGAATCCCTCAAACTTTATTTAATTTGCAGAATTAGGTGACAGGCTACTCAAATAATTATTCATTTTTCAACTTGGACAAAATGATATAAGCCCAATAATGTCCCGGCCCAAAAGAAGCAGGTCATTGTAACAAAAACAAAAACAAAAAAAATAGGTGCCAGGCACAACAACATGATCATTTTATCCTGTGTAGTGTGACAGAGTGGAGGACAGCATGATGTGCGACGCCCAGCACATCAGCTTGCCGAGTACGACAACTTACAGTTAGAAGGGATAGACCCTGTTTTCTCCCTTCTCCCTGACTCATATCACTGCCGTCATCCAGTTAGTCTGAAACTGAAGGACATTTTCATCCCCATGTTCCTGGTAATCCTGCTGATAAGTTAGGGGAATTGATTTCATCCCTTACGTCAGCCTCTTTTACTTGGTATGCAGAGCCAAAAACTGTTTGGCCTCGGCTGCATGCTCCGTCTGAAGAGCAGTACTACATGAGAGCAGGCATATTAGGGTTTTTTTTTGTTGTTGTTGGAGTACCTCAGCTTGGTGTATGATAGCTATTACACAGGTGTATGTTCTCATTAAAATGGTTTAGCGTACTATAGTCCACATCTCAAACTCCAAGTCTTGGTCAAGATGGCATCTCCGTGGCAGTGTGGCAGAAAGAGAAGTGTGGTTAAAGTCTCCTGAGATGACCGCGACGGTGTGTGGGTGTTGAGTTTGCTATCCTGCGGTGATGGAGTCGATGACGTCACACGCTACGTTGGCAGCAGCTGATAGCGGGATATAAACAGCAACAACAATGGCACATTTGAACTCCCCTGGCAGATAATATGGACACAGACTCACGGCTAACAGTTCAATGTCCGGGCTAGAGAGACGCTCTTTCACAGTAACAGTGAAAGAGGATTACACCATCTGTTGTTCACAAGCACTGCAACCCCCCCCCCCCCCCCCCACCGCAGTCGCTGTCGCTGTCGGCCCGTACAGTTTGATAGCCACTGATGGTGGAGTCGGAGTTTGGAATACGTCTCTGCAGCCATGTCTCAGTAAAGCACATAACTCAGCATTCTCCATATTCCCGCTGGGTCGTAGTGAGCGCAGCTGAGCTTGTCCATTTTAGTTGCCATGGACTTCATATTTCCCATAATTCCTTCTTGTTCTCAATTTGGCTCCTGCCCTGTATCCACCAGCGTCTCCTTCCTCAACTAATCGAGAATTTGGGGCCTAACTTCAAACAGAGCGGGTATCTTAAGGTTTTGGGCTGTTGATCGGCCACAAGATATTTGATGACATCATCTTGGGTTTGGGGAAAAGATATTTACATTAATAACAATAACACGCTTAAGTGCAGAATTTCAAGGCTAATCAAAAGCTAAGGTGAAGAGATAAGATTTTAGTTTTCTTTTAAAAATACTTAGCAGGCTTCAGTGTTCTTGGAAGTATATAGTTAATCAGGGAGTTAGCAAGGTGCAAGTAATAAAAACAATAAATGGTTGAATTACAATTTTAAATAATGAATCATAGATGGAGCCTTTAATTTGCCATTGCCATGTTGATATTTCAACGACTCAATAAATGCTCTCCAGGTAACACATTAAAGACTGGAGGGCAATGCCCAAGTTGCCATTATCCAGTCCAAATAATCCAGCAGTGAGTTCCAGTCCTGTCTGCCATTGTTTGTTTGTGATTAATTTATGTCAGATTTGTTTTGGTCCACCCAGCTGTCCGTCCATCTGTCGGGGCCGTGACATAATGCGCGAGCCTGTGGAGTAGCTCCAATTCTTCCAATAGCGAAAAACCAAAACAAACTGCCCCACCCACAAACAAAAAAACCATAACCCCCAAACAACACCCACACCCACAATGAAACAGACCTAACCAAAAACTCAAACCCTACCTCTGACGTCAGAGCCCCAGTCAGCTCCGTCACCTGCTTTACATTTACTCCTCAGTCTCTCACTCATACATTCTTGTGTAAATCAGTTGCAATGACTGTATGTGGTTTGTGTGTGTGAAAGAAAAAAAAAACACAGAAAAAAAAAAAACAAGCACCCAGAAATATGAAAACATCTTGTGATTGTGTTTGAGATTTCACAGCTTCAGTTTCTGTGGTTTGTAGTAGGGTTTTGTAGAAAAACGTGCTCATATTTGTCAGTATTGAAAGACATTGTTGTTTTGTTTTAGTGTAGGAAAAATAAACTGAACTGTATTAAGCTATTTTTTTTGTTAGTTTTGTTTGGACTTTTCTCACTTCCTGTTTTATTTTGTAGTTGGTTTCCTTGTGTGTCGGGGTTTTTGCTTCCTGTCTTGGTCCTGTTTCTGTGTGGTGATTGTCTGCCCCGCCCTAATGTGTTTCACCTGTGTTCAATCACCCTTGCCTCCCTTGTGTCTATATAGTCTTTGTGCTCCCCTTTGTCTGTGTCGGGTCGTCTGTTGATTTCTGGGTTTGTACTCATCGGGTCACGTTGCCTGTTCATGTCTGGTTGACCTCGGTCTGTTCATGTTGCCGCTTCATGTCTCCTGTTTAAGTTCTTGTGTTTCCCTGTGCTCCCCCTGTGTTTCCCTGTGCTTCACCAGTGTTGTGGAAGCTCTTTTGTTTAATTAAACCTTTTGCACCGTCTCCCATGTGTTGGCTGCATTTTGGGTCCAGCCTTACCCTTCAAACCGTTACAATTTTCTTTATTTCTTATATATGCCTTTCTATATTGGATACAATAATTGGTGATTTTCCCTTTAATAGATAACATATAATGAGGGTTTAATAGCATCATCTATAACTATGACGGCTGAGCAGTCGAGATCAACAGAAACCTTTAATGCAAAGAAAACAGTTCTCAAAGAGAGAGCAGGAATGACACAGCACTGACCTCCTAATGAAAGAACCATCACCTCCTCTGCTTTATTCTCTCTCTCTTTTCCCCTCCAGCATTGTGGGTCACACGGAGCCATACACAAAACTGTGCTGTAAGGGCTTCTGCATAGACATCCTGAAGAAGTTGTCCCGCACCATTAAGTTCTCCTACGACCTCTACCTGGTCACCAACGGCAAGCACGGCAAACTGGTCCGGGGCATTTGGAACGGGATGATCGGAGAGGTGAGAACAGCTAATTTTACATGGCAGCAGGAGGACCTTTGTGACATTGCCAAGATTATGAATGAGGTCCATTCTCTGTTGAGGTCAACAGCGCCAGAGAAAAATATTAACTGCCAGGATGCAAAAAACATAGAGACGTGTGACAAATTAGAAGAAAAAAAACAACGTAAAGTATATTAGTAAGGTGTTGGGCCACCACGTGCCCGTAGAGCAGCTCCAGTGCTCTTGCATTGATTCTCCAAAGCTCTGAACTCTACTGGATGATCAAAACCATTCTTCCAAAAGATATTCCCTCATTTGGTGTTTCGATGATGGTGGTGGAGAGCGCTGTCTAACACATCCAAAATCTCCCATAGTGTTCAATAGGGTTGAAATCTATTGGCTGTGAAAGCCATAGCATATAATTCACATGATTTTCATACTCATCAAAGCCTTCAGCGACCCCCTGTGTGTTTAATCAGCAATACAAGTCTTATAGGTTATTTTGGAATTTTAGATTTAGCTCTGTTACAGCTATTTCAGTATCCTTGCGTGTGAAAAGCTGAATATGCTTTACTGAATGTGCACAGAAACCTTCATGATTAGCAAACCGAGGAGAGTATTCCTTAAAATGAACCAATGCCAGTCCTGAGTTTTTGAAGGATGTTTAATGTTGCTGCTTCTTATTTGCACTTTCTTAAAGTTGGGGGCTTGACTTTTTTGAAAAGGAATGGTAAAAATCTGGATGATATATCCTGACCTCTGGGTCAAACTCTCAAAAAAGCTGGATCCTATGTTTCCTATAATGTAGCCCCACAGCATCATTCCTTACACCCTCCCTGCCTGATTAACACCCATAGCTTTCATACTCCTAATTAGCACAGTTATGTAATGGAGGCGAGTCATTTATTTAGGTGGTAAAATAAAACCAAAACCTGTGTGTTGATCCCTGGCCAATGGGATGTTTTCTCCCCTGACCTAAATATTAATCCCTCCGTTTAGGAAAAACATTTGTCAAAATTGAACTTGAATGAGGAGTAGAAAGGGAATATTTAAAACAGATATCATTGAGCCAAGTGGCAAAAACACACCAGTGTAAAGTTGCAACATATTCACTCACAAAACCTGCAGGACATATACTGATGATGACATTAACTTCTCAAGAGAAGACTATATGCAAACATCCACTCACTCATCCATGAACATGAAACCTCACAGGATTAAATGATTTGGTTCATTCTTCATGCCAGCATTAGTGAATGTTCAGCACTCAATATCAAAAAGGCATGCAATTTATCTTTAATTGTGCCTTTTTTTGAATTTTTTTAATATCATCAGCGTATAGTATAACCCACTGATTAACTTGTAGTATTTTTTGTAAGTTTTTTTTTTTTTAAGTTTTTTTTTTTTTTGGCATTTTTGCCTTTTTTGTGACGGTACAGTGAGAAAGAGACAGGGAGAGAGAGAGAGAGAGGGGATGACATGCAGCAAAGGGCCGCAGGTTGGACTCAAAGCCATGGCTGTTGCAGTTAGGACTGAGCCTATGTGGTACGCACTTTACCGGGTGAGCCACTGAGGCACCCCCCCACTGTTGTATTTAAGGTCCCATATAGTCTAAAGGCAGATGTCCATGTGCTGTTTGATTATAAAGCAGGTCTAGGTTCTATATTAATACTGAGAAAGTATCAAAGCCTCAGTCCACAGAGAAATGCACACAGCCTGCATTCAGAAACTGAGCCTTAAAATGAGCCGTAACTTTGTGATGTCACAACTATACAGTGTCCACCCTCAGCCATGCCCCAGAGACAATCCACCCGGACCCACCGTCCAACCCTTTGTTTTTCTTGTTGTTGTTCAACTTTTTTAACCAGACGACACCAAGCGCTACAGTATTTACATTTTTTCTGAAATACCAGAGCATTTTAGTCCAACTTTGACCATCTGTTTGGCTCATTTCATCATTGATTAGCCATCACAATTTGCATTTACCAGTGACTTTTACCAAGCCACAGTAGTAGTAGGTTATGATGGGCTGGTTGTGCGTCACTCAGAAAACAGTCAGTGAATCAGAAGAGAGGAAACTATATTAAGATTGGTTTTTGGTACTTAAAACCAAAACAAATCAAAAGTTCAAATAAAACAATAAAATATGGGACCTTTAAATTTAATTTAATAAAACAAAAAATTAAAAGAACCATGAAGGTAAAAGTTGGATCCTTTTCTTTGAGTATGAGTCAAACATTGAGTGTGCCAACAATAAATAAGAGGAAGACCTCAGACAAGAGTCTTTTTTGCTTTGGTTAAAAATTTAAATAAAAAAGGAAAAGCAATTTCAAGTCAAGATTAATGAGTACATGAATAGGTACCAAGGTCACTGTGGTGGGTGCAGGAAAAACTGTTGTACAAAAAGGAGGAGTAGCTGTCCTTGTGAATAATCTCCACTGTCAAATTGCTCTGGTCAGCCCTCCTCTTAAGGAGCTGGAGAATACAACATTAGCTGCCCTTTTTCCCCCTTTTTTCAAAAACAAGAAGGCTATCATGCTCAATGAGGCATCAACCTCCATTGGAGAGCTAATAGCTTGCATGAGGCGGAGTGTCTGGACTGTAAATCTACCAGCTCTCCATCAGCATGATTAACAGTGGTGTGGTAGGGCAGAAAAGCTCGGTAAGCAGTCACAGTGGGGCTTGAACTGTACTGGGAGGTTCAAACATTAGCAAAAATAGCATCACTTCCTATTCAGCCAGACCATCAGTGACCTTTAGCCTGCAGCGATTAGTTATCCTTCCTGCTTGTAATATTTTGTTAGCGGATGACTTATGCAATAGGCATTATGCTATATACTACAATACCTTATACTGGATTAGAGATGGATTACATGGTGGATCATGCTTTACAATGCAGTGGTGAAAAAAAAGGCAAGATAACATTGGGATAGGCTTTGGAGTTGTGTCTGTCTGGCTGTTGGGTGGGCCCTGGAAGAACCAGACAGTATATCACCCCCAGGGCCAGAGGCCAAGTGTGTTGACTTCATTGATAAATGAGATTTATCTCAAGGGTCAGCAGTGGACCTCTAGTAATACGTCGGACAGACACAGATTTCCTTACCATTTGCACTTTCATCTCAACCAAAAAAACACCTCTATTTACTTTCCTCCCGCTGCAGGTGTTCTACAAGCGGGCGGACATGGCCATTGGCTCCCTGACTATTAACGAAGAGCGCTCCGAGATTATTGACTTCTCAGTGCCATTTGTGGAGACAGGGATCAGCGTGATGGTGGCCAGAAGTAACGGGACTGTCTCACCATCTGCCTTTTTAGGTGAGAAACATATGGCTGCGGATGTTTGTGCATATTATCTTATTCATTTTTTTTATGTATTGTCTTTTGTATGCAGTTTGTTACTTTATTCAGCAGAATTTTCTAATTTTCTTGTAAAATTTTCTTGTCTTCTGCATGATAGTCATGGTTTATTCTTTTTTTATTCTTATATATTCTTAATAATCATTAATTCATCTTATTTTAATCAATGTTTTTTCCTTTTTATTTCATTTAATTTCTGGCTAGGGTCAGCAGATGAAAATGTTTCCTTTTCCATTTTTCTTTTTGTTGATCATTGTCCTTGACAAATTAATAAAGTGAAATATAAGCTGAATATAGGCTTTTGATTTGCGGGATAGTCTTTTCTTTTAGTTTGCCATCTTGAGACTCTCAATGTATTTCCCCTGCTTGACTGTATCCTGTGTCCTCTGTCCCTGCAGAACCATACAGTCCGGCGGTTTGGGTGATGATGTTCGTCATGTGTCTGACTGTTGTGGCTATCACGGTCTTTGTCTTTGAATACTGCAGTCCAGTTGGGTACAACCGCAGCCTGGTCACAGCCAAAGGTGAGTGTGGCCTCCCTCCCCAGTCCATCTGCTGATCGTCCCTTTCCCGCAACACCAGAGAAGAAGAGGCCGTGTGGCGGTGAAGCAGTAGCTGTTTTTGTTTTTGGTTTGTTTATAATTTTAAGTGACACTTAAAGCAGTTGGTAGTTACGTGTCTATGAGAAAGTATAGAGACCTGTAGATTTGGATCTACCCTCTTTCAACAATCCTAACCGGGGCATGTGATGAAAAGCAAAGTGTACTCCAAAGTATCACCTCAGGTTTTCTTTTTCATTTTGAATTAGCACTAAATGTGCAGTTTGATACATTACAATACACGTTTTTTTTTGTTTGTTTTTTTTTACTTTGTCATACAGATAAAGGCAGCAAATGAAAATGTCAATGGGGGTAAATTAATTCATTTTAATATGGGCACCTGAAGTCCTACAAAGAGGTGCGATAAATACTGAAGTCTTAAAGGTCTCTGGGGGCTTTAGAGAACATGTGAGATCTAAGCCTATTTAGAGTGGCCACATATCGGATCAATGCCTGGAAAATTGAAATACTGCAGTTTCAATTCAAAGCCATGTGGTCAATAAAATATTTTATAATGGATGGAGAAAGGCCAACGGGGCTACGCTCATGGCTTGGCTTCTGATCTTTGTTAGATGACTTCGTTCTCGTTGCACAATAAGGACATCATGAGTTATCTTCCATGCTACAAAGATACCTGCTTCACTGTAATTACGTGTTATTGTCTTCCACAAGCCAATCTGCTGACATTTGACATTTGATTTAAAGTAAAGGATGTAAGGACTATTTATCATAATGGCAACACTGATATATTCTAATTCATATTGAAATGCTACACCAATAACACTGCTGTCAGTCACCTGCATCTGGATCTAATTTTATACCACTGTGTGGTGCTGACTGACACTGAGAAAACTAGATCCATCTTTTGTCAAAATTTCAGCACCTTGACAAGTGAAACAGCTGTCTCCTCCAGCACTCAGTCAAAATTCAGTCGCACATCTAAACTACAATGTGTACAAAATAAATACAAAATAGAAAAGGAAAATACAGATGCGACGTCCTTGTTATAAGGATTACGTCTTTTCTTTTTACATTGCTTTAGGTAATTTACGTGAGATCAGATCAAAACTAAAAAGGAGAATAAATCGGCAGAACCTTAGAGGCAAGAGAGCTCTTGCACTCGTACAAATAATATCAGTAGTGTGAGGTTAGGCTCCCAAAGACCAGGATGGTTACATGTGCAGACACGGGTCTGTTCTCACTCTCTAAAACGGCCTTGGGTACCTTGAAAGGCACTATAAAAATCCAAGTTATTATTATTATAATTATTAAGGATCCCACATCAGTCCATGAAGTTTTTTAATTGAGTTGATTTATTATCTTCAAAACTTTTTCATGGAGGTGGTGGATGAAAAAATGTTTTTTTGGATACGCAGCCCGTTGTTCTGGAAGGCGACGACAAACTACTTATTTTGTAATTCAGGTTGCATAGTCATTGCACAGGGGTGGAGTGTATTTCCTCAAACACTGTCGGCCATTGTATAGACTAAGTTTTGTCCACATTTAACTTCCGTCCACCCTAGATCCCGGAGGTCCCACCTTCACCATTGGGAAGTCAGTGTGGCTGCTATGGGGAATCGTCTTCAACAACTCGGTCCCCATCGAGAATCCAAAGGGGACCACCAGTAAGATCATGGTCCTGGTGTGGGCTTTCTTCGCTGTCATCTTCCTGGCTTCCTACACAGCCAATCTGGCAGCCTTCATGATCCAGGAGCAATACATCGACACCGTCTCTGGACTGAGTGACAAAAAGGTACAGGGCTCCGTCGCTGTCATTGACAGTCCCTGTGTGTGTCATCAGGCGTGTTGCTGTGTTTGATGTACAGCTTAGGAAAAACACAGAGTGGTCTATTTTCAGGTGTGTAAACAGTGTGTGTGGCAGAGCTATGAAAGGCAAATATCCAGAAGTGGCAATGTCATGGCTGTGACTTCTCACTTTCCCCACAAAATATATGAGAGTTCATAGACTAAGTGGTGAAATTGAATTATATCCCCAAACTCTTTAAACGGGGATGTCTGTGAGAAGACTATGAAATGTAATGCACAAGTGGATTTTCTGGGCAGACAGTGTTCATAATTTCTGGTTTCATCTTATGCATATTTGTCTGGCCTATGTTTTATACGAGTATTGACAAGGAAATCCATGTTAAACCATCAGCACAAGAAATGATTTGTAGACTCTTTGCTCACAGGCAACTGAAGGGATTAAGGAGGCATTTGAGGAAAAGACCAAGCTGTCCATTGCTCATTATGATTCTGGCAAAGTCATTTACAATTCTTGTCTCATTATACATTAACTCTGCTATACAGAGAAAGAAACAGAGCCATTTTGACAGGCAGTCCATAGATTATTGAACAGCATTCTGCGTGGCAGCATGGGGGGAATGGAGGGTTGAATTGCTGTTTGTCCAGCTGTGCTGAACCCCTCAGGTTAAGTAAATGTAAATGAGGTACAAGATGAAGCCACAGAAAGTGACCTTGTATCAGAGGAGACAGTGATGGAGGCGAGCAAAGCTCCTCTAAGGACACCGCGCTGGGTTAAGGTGGATGATTACCTCATCCTTACAGAATAGACGCTTCACTTATCAAGAAAGTCCTTGCGTTGGGTAACACATCATTTTAACTCCGACATCGCCCGCCCTCCTTCAATCCACTTCGTTCTGTCTGACACACTGCTTCTCCGTCCTGTGTATCAGTAGGAGGTATTGCGGAGACTGCTTCACTGACATGCTGTCAACATAAAGCTTAGTAGCTCAATGTGGGCCGGCTGTATGGAACTGTCCTCACCAGAAAAGCAACAGCATGTGCCAAACATTTTGAGCGACGGATGTTTACATTTTTCCTGACAAGAAACCTCTTGCAGTCTTGTGAAATAATCACTGTTCCCTCTCAAGACACCAAGGTCAAAATAGCAGGACGCCTTTGTAGCACTGCAAAACCTTTCAGAGGAGAGGCTGTAGCAGCTGTTTGGCCGTTCAAAGTATCTTGACACCACATCTTGGCATCTTGTTTCCTTTCTTCAGTACACGTGTCTTTTTACCATTACCACTATCAGCAAATAGTTCTATCTGCCTAAATCCAGTTATTTGTTGTTGTTTTTTTTAAATAAAAACTAAGCATTTTTACTTTTTCAACACAGGTTGTTGTTTCTCACAGGACACTCAGACATTTGTAAGAGGCAAAGCAAAATAAATATGCTCGCTGATGCAGTAAGCGATATGTCCTGAAGCAATCCTTCACATTTTCCGTTAGTGCTACTACACTGTTCACCATTCAAAATAACATTGGTAAAAACGAGGCCTATAGTAAATGGATTTGAACTGCGATTCTCTCATTCACGTAGGTATTTGACAACGTAACAGCGTTTGGCTACACCCAAAATTTCTGTTCAGTTGGACTCCTGTAGACAGGTTGACAGATTTTGTCCCTGGTTCCTTTTTTTTTTTCGTTTTCAGTCGACGTGACTTTGTTTTGTCCGTTACATCAGCCTTCAGAAACTCCTGCAGGTTAGACTGGGCTACCACTCTGACTGCTGAAAGACTAACTACAGGTGGACTTGAAAACCCCAAGCTGGCGACATTACGGCTACAAACATCCTATAGCGCAATGCACTATAAAAGGCCGTAGTTAAACTTGTACTTTTTTTTCTTCAGAATATCTGATGTAATATGACCCACAATTTTTCAAACCTAATTTAGAGAGAAAAAAAAAATTGGGCCAATACGTTATCCTCTCTCTCTGGAGCAGTAGAGAAATCTCAGCGTAGTTTTTTTTTTCCATTCATTGGGCTTAGGCGCTCAACTAACTCTTTTTTTCACTCTTGTGTTCCCAGTACTTTGCAGTGTTGTTCCTTTGTCGTTCTTGGCTTGGCCCTACGCTGTAACTCTAAAACCGCCCCTTCTATCTGTTCTTCACATAAACCTACCATTAACTTGACCTTGATAGATTGCTCAAGGTTTGATATCAGAATGCCTTCACTAATGTACTGTGAAAATATTTGCATAAGGTTAATGAAAAAGTACAATTTTGTCGACTGCATTTCCACCCTGTCCCACTTCCTGTCCTCACAGCTAATTAAATGCATATAATACTGCCAAAAGCACACAAAAAAAAAAAAAGGATAAAATGAGAAGTTCATTTCTTGCTGCAGACAAGAAAAGCATTAAGGAAGTGTGGATCAGGACACGGTGTCCTCGACACTCGAGTTCATTCCTGATTGTCAGGTCTTTGAATTGTGGAGTTAGATGTGTAAATGAACAGAGCAAAAGGGCCAGTAGGATAACTCGCTCAAAAGCACTTGGGAGTTGAGGCAGAAATCCTAAAAATACTGAGGTGGTAAGTTTCAGCGTATTAGTAACTCAGCGCTCTTTATCTGGCCGTACAGCTAGAGTGACACTTTTAAATGAAAGAGACAGAGTTCTGTGATGAATCAGGGTGACGAGAGAATCTGAATTTGATTAAACGCTCCTCTGCCAAGGTCTCTACGATGATAACTTTTTAGTTTACATATTTTTGTTGAAAAAATATATACAATTTCTATTTAAAAGATATGCAAACCAATCGATATCACAGATCATTTTTTGTCTTCATCAATCCTCATTCTTCCTCTTTTGACAGTTTCAAAAGCCACAGGAGCAGTACCCTCCGTTCCGCTTTGGTACGGTCCCAAATGGCAGCACAGAGCGCAACATAAGGAGCAACTACCCCGAGATGCACTCCCACATGGTCAAATACAACCAGAAGGGAGTAGAGGATGCCCTTAACAGCCTCAAAACAGGGTAGGCGTCTGCCAAAGGATCGTTAAAAAAAAAAAAAATATATATATATATTATATATATATATTTATCCAGAAGAATTCAGAGGCAAAGCAGAGCCAAACAGTTAAATAATGGCCGTTTAAGTAAAAATCCTTTTCTTTACCCTTCAAGGAAACTGGATGCCTTTATCTATGATGCTGCTGTGCTGAATTACATGGCTGGCAAAGATGAGGGCTGCAAGCTGGTGACCATTGGCAGTGGTAAAGTGTTTGCTACCACTGGTTATGGCATCGCCCTGCAGAAGGATTCACGCTGGAAACGACCCATCGACCTGGCCCTGCTTCAGTTCCTGGCTGATGGTAATTTTTTTTAACATATACACTGCAAGATGCTGAGTTTCAGAGAATATTACCAATAACGCTATGATAACTGCATCTGCACCTTTTCCATAAACCTGAATGGGAATACTGGCATGATAAAATAAAGGCTGCCATTAAACAACAAAAAAAAAAAAGTATCAGGGAGGAAATGTGTATGAACAGTCTGTAAAATGTTACTATCGTAAAATGTATACAAATTCCTGTCAATAAAACCTAGTTTCAAGAGCTGATTTAAAATGTGACCCTTATTCTGCTAACCTGAGCACCTCAGGCAAGTCGTTTTGAAGCCTCTGGCAAAAGCCTGGTCACCTTTGGCGGGGATATGCAATACATGGTAAGAGGGATAATACCCATTGCATAAGATGTCAAGAGGCCATACATCATACTGTGATTTTATAACTCCTTACTGGAGACTGTCTGTGTGTGATTCAGACAGAAACTCTGGTGACAAAGGGTTAGGCAATGGGTGGAATACACACACACAAAAAACGAATTATTAGAAAAATATTTACTATTCACGTGGGATCAGGACCCAAACAGTGGGTTGCAAGTGATATCTGAGGTTTTACACAACAATAAAAAACAAAACAAAAAAAAACTATTTCTGGTTCATAAGGTTTTCCAAACTTGTCTCTCATCTTAGCTTTTTTGCTTGTGATGTATAAGTTGATTTTACCTCTACGTTGAACCGGTCACCACTGGTACATACAGTATATAACTGGTGACAAGAAGTCACAAGCAGACATACAACAGCTTAGTTTTACAGCGTCACAATCTAAAACGGTGTGAACCATTGCCTTATGCAGGATTTGTGTGCAAATTTGTTGTAGCTATTACTTGCTTTTCTTCTCTCAGAAGAACAGCTGCTGTTGACTTAAAATTAAATAATAAGTGATCAGGATGGATTTTGGATTCGCTTAATAACAAACAGAAGAAGCGTACAAACGTTAAGAGTTGTGTCAGGTGTGCTGGTCATTTGAGACAATTTTATAATCCCATGCAAATGCATCTCATGAGAGGTCGCAAAGTGTTCAATTACTCAATTAAAACTCCCCAAATTATACTACTGTTATGCAAATTCTGTGTTTCTCTGCTCACAGGTGACACACAAAAGCTCCAGACCGTCTGGCTCACGGGCATCTGCCGTAATGAGAAGAAAGAGGTGATGAGCAGTAAGCTGGACATTGACAATATGGCAGGAGTCTTCTACATGCTCCTCGTGGCCATGGGCCTGAGCCTGCTGGTTTTTGCTTGGGAACATCTGCTCTACTGGAAACTACGACATTCAGTCCGCAAATCAGAGCGCCTGGACTTCCTCCTAGCTATCAGTAGAGTAAGTTATCCTAACACATAGAAAACTACACCACCACAATATGTAGGTTATTATCTACATGCAATATTTAAATATTGGTTCAATTCAATTTAAAGGGATAGTTGGGGTTATTTGACACGGGGTTGTGTGAGGTAGTCATGCATAGTCAGTGTATTACCTGCAGTAGATTCAGATCAACGCTCTGCCAGTAAGGAGAGGTGGCACACAGGCTGACCGACACGCTCCCCGAAACAATCCAGTATCCGTGGAAGTGTACGCTTCATTTAGAATATTTTCAGCGCTTTATCTTCCCATCAAAACAAAGTCAAGTTTGGTTCTTTCTGAGTCACTCAGTCGACCCCTCGGCTGCGTAGTGATACAGTGCGCGTTGTAGGTGCGCTTGTGTGTAGGAATCCGGTAGTTCAGCGGTTTTTGAAAAATGTAGTACCAAAAGGAAAGTGCTGTTTTGACAGGAAGATAACGCGCAGAAAATATTCTACATGAAGCGTACATTTAATATTGGATTGTTTCGATGGGCGCACACATTTTTTTCTGCTGACCCCCGTGCACAGCAACACATAGCTCTGTTGGTGTACAGTGCTCTCTGCTGCTTCTCCTAACCGGCAGCGTGCTGATCCGGATCTACTGCTGGTAACACACCGACTATGCATGACTACCTCACACAAGCCCGCGTCAAATAACCCCCACTACCCCTTTAAGAGGTAACTGCAGCAACATGTTGCTGGTTATGCACTATCAATATTTTCAAAGGTTAAGTAATCTAAATGCAGCAAACATTTTCCAGACAGAAGTTGCAGAGAATGTAATAGTCAGGCCTTGCTGCATGAGCAAATGCAGTTATAAAGGCTGCCTTCTCTTTAGGAATACCGGCGATGCAGTGACTCAAATCAGTATACAACCAGAACAGCTCAAGGGCAGCAACAGTATAAAAAAAAAAAAGAAAAGAAAAGATAGTAAAATAAAATTAATTTAAAGCAATAAAAAGACTTGGTGAAATATTGTGTTGGTTGTCATTCCTGAGAAATTGAATTTAAAATGCCCCATTAAAACGCCTTCATCTGTGTGTGGACAGTCGTCACAGGTGAGATTAAGTATTCCGAACTGATACACAATTTGAAAGTAAAATAAAGCAGGTGGGATAAAACTGGAGAAACAGATATGGTAAGTGCATGATCAGCAGCTCATTTTTATGCTTGGGCTGTTTTTAAATTCAAGCTGTGTGTAAATGACATTTCAAACACAGCAACACAAACATAAAGGAACAACAATGAATCTCTTTCTGCAAAGACAGTTTTCCATATAATTAATCTGAAGTTAATAGAAATTCTACAGAAATTGAATAAAATGAATCACAGTGAGTGTAGAAAAACATGACTGAAAACCTTTTGGCAGTTCAGTAGTTCCTGGGGTTCCTGGGATCTGATGACGTTTAAATATAGTGATTTAAACCTTTCGTGTCTCTGCAGGGCATCTACAGCTGCTTCAACGGAGTAGAGCACACTGACCGCAACGGGAGCATGCCGAGTCCAGACGTCACTACCAACTATACGCAAGCTAATATGCTAAAGATGCTGAAGACCGCCAAGGACATGGTGTCCTCGGCCAGAGTGGAGAACTCTCTGGACAATGCCACCAAAACAATAGAGAACTGGAGCAGGCGCGGGGGCGACAATGTGCGGGCTGGCCTGCCACCCAGGGTGACGACCACAGACATGACCCACGGCCGTCTGCCCTACATCTCCAGCATCACTGACAACCACTCGCCGTACCCTCAGAGGGCCCTCACACCGACGTTCCCACTTCATTATGGTGACACCTCCACCCAGCCCCTCCTCGACAAGCCGCGCGTGGTGACCCGGCCCACCCCGCTCCGCTACACGCTGCCCGCCCGCAGCAGTCAGCACGTCTTAGAGAGGACTCTGCCCATCTCCAGCCTCAGTAGTCCTCACATCGCCATGAGGGACCCCGCTCCCTCGGGTACACCTACCCCGCACCACAGCAGCAGGCTGTATGTGGAGAACCAGGCCCGGCACCCCACGTCCCCTTTTGTTCCTTACAGGGAGTTTCAGGTGCCTGATATCTACGTGGAGCACAGAGGACCGCTGAGGAGGAAGTTTAGCTACCCGCCTGACTGTGTGAGCCGGAGGAGGAGGTCGCACAGCTATGTGTTCGATGCTGCAGACCCCAGAGTGAGAGCTGACTATGATGAACCTCGATCCTGCCTTGCTGAGTTGAGGGCCAATCATCTCCTGAACAACCACGCCTCTGATGCTGCTGCCATGGCCTGCACTGCGAGACACTACCCAGGCGGTAGCACCAGCTGCAGCTCCTGTATGAAGTCTTACCTGGAGCCGGAAATGGATGATATACCACTCCTGGGGAAGGACAAACTCAACCGACGAGCCTCATTCCTCAGAGCCACATGGGGCAACGATAGGATCCATCAGGTGGATGAAACAAAGCCCTCCACGTCCACATCTCCCTCCACCCGCGTAAACATGCCTGACCTGTTTCCACGGGTGGTAGTGGCCAACCCAAAGCCCCACAAGCTATACGGCAGTTTGGGGCACAACCTGTCCTGCTATCCCTTGGCTGCTGAGCCGGCCTACTTGGACCCAGCCCACATGGGCTCCTACCCCTACAAGCAAAAGCTCAAGTACTCTGAATCCACCCGGCTGCCCTCGTACAGGGAAGCCATCCTGCAGAATGCCGCAGCCCTGCGCCGCTCCTCCTCCACAGTGGTGCACAGACACTACTCCACCTACCTAAACTCGTACACAGACTTACCGGTGTATGTGGGGCCGCTGGCCCAGGGACCATCCCAGTTGTATGACGGTTCCAAGGACATGTGCCACTTGTTTCCGTGTACAAGCCACTGCCCAGATAATGCAGCAATGCTGCCTCGTATGAGTGACAGGCAGGTGGTGTACCACAACAATATGTTTGGGGCCTACGAGGGCACAGGAAAGAGGGAAGACCCAGGCCCTGGGAGCAGAGAGCGGAGGCAGGTGTTGGTGGCGCGGAGAGTCAACAGTCCCTATGTGCCAAAGCCCTGGGGCAGGGTATCCAGCCTGGAGTCTGAGGTCTGAGCCACCATCCTAACTGGACCTCCGCTAGGCTCTCAGACTGAGCCCTTCTGAGGAGGGGAATGCCCTGGGGGTTATCTCCTCGGCCTCTGGTTAAAGCAAAAATTAAACTCTACACCAATAGTGTATTTGAGAGTGCTGACTCTCAATTATCAGTGCAATAATATCTTAGGCAGCAAAATGTAAAGGAGAACACACTGACAAGCAAACTACTGCTGGGACTTTGTAAGCCAAACTTAAAATACTAAAAAAGAAAAGGCAATGTTGAAAAGTATTTAATACATAAGAATTTAACCTGTTGATTGTTATTTAAAGGATTTTTAAATGCTGTGTTGCTATGTGAAAGAATTCTGGGAGACAATATACTGTAGCCTCTCAATCTGATTACAACTTGAGATATTTCTTTTTGTCATTTTTTTCAAGCTCATTTCAGTATCCACCATTTCACCTGAGAGATCAATTATTAAGATAATTTTGTGATCAAAGCACTGACGTATCTGAATTTTCTAAGTCCACGACCTTGGGCGCAAAGTTGTTCTGAGGTTTTCTGCTCCATTGGTCATTGATGTAATTTACTGGGATTTTAAAAAGGGAAAACCATAAAAAAAAATTATCATGTGTATTTCCATTGTTACACTACCCTTTAATAAAGAACAAGGTCATCTCAAGGGCCCTTTGGAATCATCTGTCATCTCAATCTGTATGTTAAACATGCTCTCACATTGTACAGTGATATAGCGAATGTGACTCACAGTCTGTTATTTCAGTCTGCCAACTCACACAGAACGGATGATTATGTGAATACAGTTTATGTACAAAGTTGATACTGAATGTGCAGGTTCTGACCTTGGGCACTGTGCGCTCAAACAAAGTGCCACCCAGCCACTATGCGACTGGGAACAGTCTACAGTGAACCGGGGTGGAGATATACAGCTATGCAGCAGGTAATTTATAACTTATGAATATTAAAATCAAAAATTAATGGTCTGAATCAGAAAGGAGGATCTTATGAAATGTTAGTATTGACAAGCTGCAGATGATCATCAGAACATGGATGTGACCTTCAGGTTGGAAGTGAGTGCAGCTGAGTAAACCATAAAACAAACTTGGCAGTTTCGATGCAATTACGATATGAATGAAAAGTGAAATTAAGCGGTCACAAAAACACACTGATACGGGTTCAGACGTTCCCCTTCTGCATAGGATTAGGCTGTGGAAATGTGAAATAGGTCACAAAATAATTGCTATACGCAAGACTTTTGTCCAAGAGAACTGTCATGTTTCCTTCCCTGAAGTGATCCACAGAAGAACCTCAGCCAAAAGAACAGTTTAGTGAAAGAGCAACAGCACCTAACACTCCTAACAATGATAATACTCACTCATCAGTATTCATATTCCATCACAGCACAAAGCAAGAGCAATAAAAAACACCACAATGTATGTGCCAAGCAAGACTTGGTACTTCAGCCACCACAAGAAAATGAATTTACAATAAATAGCAAATACCAAACATATTGCACATACATACCAGCAGCAAAGGAGCTCAAACTGACAGCCAGCAGGCACCAAATAATCAACCAGAAAGCAGCAAATTCCACCAGCAGCAGTGTCTGCAGCCAAATTTCTCAGCAACAGAAACAGTGACTGAATGGAGCCAAGACAAACTCACAATACACATGTTAACACCAGCTGTGAAAGTGAATGGGTGATTGATGAGCGACAGCTGACAGTCAACTTTTGGAAGAACCCAAACAGTTCCAGGCCGCATGCACACAAACATTTGCTTCAGACTTCAACGGGCATTATTATGAAGAACTCCAAATAATGACCAAATGTTACTGAAACTAATTAAGTGAGCTTGCTCTGTGCATCAAACACTTGGATTGCACCCTTTGAGACAACATGCAGTATTACCCCTAGCTTCAGGGCAGGTTACAACAGAAGACAACAACAAACTGGAGGGTGATCACAATGCAAAACTAACACAGCCCCCTAACACTCAGTACTCACTACTTGATCACAGCAATAATAAACAGCATTAAAATGTCATAATAAACACGTCAAACCACAGCCAGAGGAGAACGAGTTCACTCACAACAACGAATCGATTCATGCCACTGCAAGTCTCAGCGTAAGAGGAGAGGGCAGCAACACGACAGCAACAAAAACAAACAGCAGTGCTGGCAGCCATATTTACAAGCACATAAACACTGACAGAAAAGAGCCAAGATTATGTCCCGATTCCATATTACACAATAACTGTATACATTATATACCAATATTTATAGTATACTGTAGTTTTAACGATAATATACAAGGAATCAACAAACTTTACTGTTTCATTCTAACAGAATGTGCCATCAATTTTGAAATGCCACTGACAATTTCACTTTACTAATTATATTTTGTTTTCCTGTCTAAGTATTATCTGCAATTTATATATCTTGATGTGATAATACATATATATATATATGTGTGTGTGTGTGTGTGTGTGTGTGTGTGTGTGTGTGTGTCAAATACATGTAAATATACATATGTGTATATCATTTACATGCATTTGTTATTCAAAACCACCAGCAAGCAGTATGGAATTGAGACACACGTATAAATATATGTATATGTATATAAGCATGTTAAGACAACCAGCATAAACTTACTCTTCTAAAGTAAAGTGAAGTCATCAGGGAAGTCATCAGAGGAATCAGTGATGCGATATTATAGAAAACAATTCTGTGAATAGGCAAGACAAGACTGATTTCACAACATTAAAGCCAACATTCAATATTACATTAAGCTTCCAGACCAGAGTCAAGGCCCTTGCCTCTTCGTAGAGCAGAAAAAAAGCAAAAGCAAAAAAACCTACAGCACACAGTTGCGCAGCCAGCAGTGCACACAGCCACATTTCCAAGCGCATACACAGAACTTGAACAAAGTCAAGATATAAACGCAACACTATGCATGTGAGCACAAGCAGCTCCTGCTGAAGTTAAACAGTGACTGACAGTTCATTTTGGGGAGAACCAGCGTGGTTCCAAGATGGACAGGAAACCACTTCCAGCTTGTTGTAGCTGGGTGAGAGAGAGGAAGGCCACGGTCACAAGGCTGGCAGCAGCAGCAGGGAGCTCTCCAAAGCACCTGTATTACTCCACCAAAAGCTGTAACGGCACAACATAATGGGATTGTTGAGAGGCATGCTTCTTCATCAAAAGCGACACGAGCCACATGCTAACATACCAAAACAATGGGTGTTGCACGGACAGCTTAAAAGGACCACCTTGTTATTAGTGTGTGTTGTGTTGTGGGGTGTAGAGCCATGTGTGAGTGCAGCAGCGACTCCAGTAATCTGGATGTCTAGACTAGTTCGCAGGCTCCCTAAATTAATTTTTACTATTTTCTGAGTTCAGCTATTGCCACTGTAGTCTTACATAGCCAGACCTATCTCCACAGCACTGTGTCAGCGCTGGAGGGCTGCATGCCTTATTTTTTATAGATGTAACCCAAACACTGTGATACCATAGTATTTAAACCAGAAATGTCAAAAACCTGTGATTTCTGTGTAAAGACATTTGTGGCACTAGAGGATCAGCTGTACGAAAAAGACCAAAGTTTTGACCAGATAGCGTCAGGTGAGGTCTTAGTGGTCGACAGACTGACTTACACACCAGCAGGCTGTGAAAATATGAATGAAAACCAGTAGGGATGACATGGCCTGGAATTATTTACCAAGTTTATCAGTACCTCCCAGCTGTATATGAAAATGAGTCCCTTATAATATCATTAATTAATCATTAAACACACCCTGGACCGAGATAAGAAGCAGTAAATGGGTGGATGGATTAACCAATTAAAAAATAACAAATTAATTTAAGTTCGATACAGACTAGGCTTGAAAAAAAGCCACATATCTAAATGAAAGGTAAGACTCTAATACTTTCATCGCTAACAGTGTTTAGAGTGGAAATACAGTTTAAGTTCCGGTGCAACATCGACACTTTATTGTATCAACTTTGTACATTAGTATACTTATGGCTCCAGCTAAGTGTTTATTATTGTAACGACAAAATGAAATTAGGTTGGTCTCCCTCTGCCAACTTCATGGCAACAAACTCACCAAAATATCAAAACGAAGGAAAAATTGCAGTTGAAAAGATGAGATTTAGCAGTGATTAATAAAACAATTTGTTAGATGAGGCCCCTATCCTCCATCTTGTGGCCCTGTCTTAAAATCTGTGATCGTTTGTTGTAAGGGGACAACCTTGGGCATATTTTTCCATATAGAAGAAATGTAAGGATTGCAACCCACAATTATTTTCAGCATCAACACATCAGATGAGTCTTTAATGATCAATTGAGAGTTCAGAGTGTTAAAACGTATAGTGAAAATACCCATCATTATTTTTCTGAAGCCCAAGGTAACATATTCAAACGTCTTTTATTGTTTGATCAACAGTCAAAAATACAAAGATGTTAAGTTTACTTTCATAGAAAACTCAGTTGAGAAGCTGTTGCCGGTTCATTTTTGCTGAAGAAATGAATTAAATGATAAACCAATTATCAAAATTGTTGCCATGTCAGCTCTATAGTTCTGGTTAGCTTCAGGGTGCCTAAGGGAAATAATGAAACTGCCAAGTATAATGGGACCCAATAATTATTTTTTTCCCAAGGCCACTTAGAAGGTTAATCCAGCCATGGTCTAACAGTATCACATACACTCTGTTTCAGTGTGTTTCAGCTCTTCAGTGAATGAAAATACTCTATTCAAACCCTCCAGACTCCATGTTTTTTAAATGGCTGCATTGTTCCATCAATAGATATTATAAACAAACTTTAGGAACTCCACTCATTTCAAACATATTTGCCTGCAGAGCAAGTTTGCACTCACTGGCCCATCAGTGGGTCAGAAAAGTCAAAGACGTAAACAATAAACTTTTAAAATCTGCAGATTAAATTTTGATGCAACCTCTACGGGGAGCTGTTATGAAACCTTACTTGCTGGCGAACACACTTTAAAACCCTGGCAAAACTTTAAGAACTCATTTTATTTCAATGAGACAAATATTTACACCAATTCCAAGGCTGTGAGCCAAACTCAATTCTTAATCTTTAAAAATCACAAGTAGTGGGGAGCAAAAGCTTAGTCACAAATCCAGGCAGAGAAGCCGTAAACTCTTCTGTCACATTAATTATCTTTCTTGTAGTGTTTGTGATGTTACAGCTCACAGTGCTTGATGCAACACAACTGCCCTTTCAAAACATAAAATAAAAATATATACTACTGAATTACTCATATATTCTCCTAATGATTTATAGGGATTATATGGATTTTAAACTGCCTATATGGATCAAGAAGGGTTGCCAGTTAAGGCTATAGTCAAGTGAATTTTATTCATAGTCTCAAAGAACATTACAGACAGGAGAGAAACAATGTGTTTTACATGTTGAATATCTAAAGACATTATAGATATGTGTATCTCTTAAAAGACAACACTGTAAATTGCTCTACTATGGTTCCTACTTATCCAGTGAAATAACCCAACATCCAGTGGATGGATTGCCACAAAATGTCGTACATAGGTGCATATCAGGATAAATTGTGATCCTCTCATTTCTCATGAAGCACAAACATTAACATACATTTTTGGTTTCTGTCTAAATACCTGCAAATT